AATGAAAAGACAATGGAACATTCTGATCACTGGATCGTGTCATGATGGCATGGAGAACAGTGGGATTTTCAATACAATGAAAAGACAATTGAACATTTCGATCACTGGATCATGACTGGATGGCATGGAGAACAGTGGGATTTTCAATACAATGAAAAGACAATTGAGCATTATGTTCACTGGATCATGACTGGATGGCATGGAGAACAGTGAGATTTTCAAAACAATGAAAAGACAATGGAACATTCTGATCACTGGATCGTGTCATGATGGCATGGAGAACAGTGGGATTTTCAATACAATGAAAAGACAATTGAACATTTCGATCACTGGATCATGATTGGATGGCATGGAAACAGTGGGATTTTCAGAACAACGAAAAGACAATGGAACATTCCGATCACTGGATCATGATTTGATGGCATGGAGAACAGTGGGATTTTCAATACAATGAAAAGACAATTGAACATTTCGATCACTGGATCGTGTCGTGATGGCATGGAGAACAGTGGGATTTTCAATACAATGAAAAGACAATTGAACATTTCGATCACTGGATCATGACTGGATGGCACTATCATCATGTAACGTCTTGTGGGAAGGGCCTATGATTATACCTAGTCTATACAGTTAAGATTTATCTCACAGTAAAATATAATATATACTACAAGCGGCTTAATTTATGGCCGTTTATGAATCGTTCTGAGAGCGATAAAACTGACATCGCCTCGCCCCTTATATGATAACCTATATACATATCTAAGATTCCTCCTTCTGTAACCGTACCAAACCCACCACGTATGTTACAAACTAACCCTACGTAAACCACTACTTCTGTTGGCCCCGTTTAGTGAATAGCAACAGTAACAAAGCAATCAGTCTATACCCAGTCCCCAAAGCCAGCAATGCCCCAATACATATACGATAGCTTTGCAAATCATAATGATTGTCTATCTGAACACGGCTTATGATGTCGTTCAAAACTTGTGAGTTTTCCGCCGCTTCAATCTCAAATATCGCCTCCGCTATCCAACGTGAGAAAGACAGATTGTAAAATGCAGTTGCGATAAATGTATCATCCAACTTACACAACTCGGGAGAGCCACCTTAAGTGTGAAAGACAAAATATATTTGAAAGTCGTTTTTAGGATCAGGTACATTGTTTAGCCAGCATTATACATGATGGGGAATAGGTGTTGTAATGGCGCATGGTTGAAAATATACATCTAGAAGGCAAAAGGTTACACAAGGGACTGCCAAAGTCTTACAACTTCAGAATGTGATCTGTGAATCAAAATAGTCAAAATATGGACCAATAAATAAATAAAAAATTTTTATGTGCTTATAAATTGCCCTTCGCACGTATGAAACACTAAAACGAGGTCAAAAGGGTCGTTTGTATAATGTATACCTCTATGGCGTGTTTATATTTAGCAGCGAAAATATTCCAAAATATTCAAATAAAGCTTGTTGAAATGCGACCGCCATTTTGATGCTTGTATACAAAAATTCCGTTATTAGTTTGACGCCAAATATCGGCTGTTTTCAGTTCATAAACGCGGTGAACACCCCCTCCCCCCTCTGTCATAATAATTTCGGACAGTAACGATTTCCAAAGAGTAAAAAGCTCCACTAACCTGACAACAAAGCCATAATGACAACAGTAACAATGGCAGCCATTTGTGAGTTCCTTGGTGTCATCATCAGAGACATGACGTAGCCGAGGCCAGAGAGACAGTACCATCCACAGAGAAAGACTGCATAATGTAAATAAAATGGCGCTGGAAGAAATAAAAATGACATTTCAACACACATGAAAACAGTCCTTCATGTCACCATTCATCCTGCCTTTGTTATTATTCCTTCCACTCTTCCATCTATCTCTCCCCCCCCCCTCCTCCCCTTCCTTCCTCCCTCTCCCTCTTTCTTCTTCCCTCACTAACATCCTCCCTACCTTCCTTCCTCTCTCCCACTCTCTCTCTTCCTTCTTCCCTCTCTTTCTCACATCCTTTCTCCCTCCCCCTCTCTCCCTTTCTTTCTACCTCCCACACTACCTTTCTCCCTTCCCCTACCTCCCTCTATTCCTCTCCTCACCCTTCCTTCCTCCCTTTCCCTCCACCTCTCTCTCCCGCCCTCCGTTCTCCCTCCATCCCTCCACTCCTTGCTTCTCCCTTCATCCTCCCTTCCATCTTTCGTACCTTCCGTCCTTCCTACCCCCTTCCTACCCCTTCCATTCTCCCTTCTTTCCTTCATTCATTGCTTCCTCCCTCCCTTCTTCCCAAATTCTGTACTCACAACAACCCACACACAAACATACAAATTCACACCTACCCAGGAATGCGGCGATGCTGTAATAAATACTGAGATAGACGGCCGGAGAAATCAGCAAAACAGGAATGTAAGCCAGGTTGACAGCAAAGAAATAACTCACACGATTGATACCTGAAGCACTCTCTCTGAAATCAAAATAGTAAACTGTCAAAAATTTAACGTTTATCTAAACTAGACTGAATTTACTTATACTCGACAGCTCTATCAGTTCCATCTTTATAAAGGTACAGTAAAGGCTACATACTGCATCGGTCTACTGTATCAGTCTACTACGGGAGGAAACCTGAACTAAAGTGACTTCAATTGTACAAGATAGCTCCAGCAGTTCAACACTGTTCTTCCTAGACGTTCAGTAAACGACGTACCCGGAAAAGGAATAATGCTGGGTGGAATAGGTGAAAGTAGCCTATCAACTCTTGTTATGACAGTTTATATGTAGTTACAATACCTCCAAAAGACAACTCTATGTTGGCCAAAACTTCTCAACGCGGCAACAACACCCACTAGGCCCACAGCTATATCCCCAAATACAGTAGTTTCAGGTACATTGTGTATTTCAACCTATACAAAAATAATAAAATATAGTTACCTCCAAAATACAACTCTGTTTTGACCAAATCGTCTCGTTGCGGCAACAACAGCACCCAACCCCGATATTATGTTTCCCAGTACTGTTGTTTCGTGCACATCATAAATGTATACCTACAAATAGGAGAAATATACTCTATAAAATTATTAACTGAACTAATTTTATTTATACTGGATAATACTATCAGTTCTAAACCGTTCTCCCTAGAGAACCAGTAAGAATCATCTCTTATTCATCCAGTGTTATTACAGGAGGAAACCTAAACTAAACTAACTTTATTTATAGTGGATAGGTCTATTATGGATAGCTCAGTTCTTTCTAGAAAGTCCAACTAAGCGATGAAAACCACCACTACAATTACGCAATCCTTACCTCTCGAAACAGAAGACCCAAAACAGCACCAGCAATCATGGTCAAGACCTGATCAAGCAGTAAGGTCCGAGACATACGAAGTTGAAGCACGACCTCTCGTCTGAAAAACACCCATAGTTGAGAGAAGAAACCAAGACGAACGACTTTTGGTTTCTCTAAAACCCGTTCTTCTTCACAGCTTTCTATCGAGGATGGAATAGGCGAGGGTGTGACTTGGACTGTCTCATTATCTAGAAAGGAAAAATTTATGTTAAACTTGGGATGTCACATTATCTAAAAGAGAAAGAGAGACAGTACGGTGGGTTCACCCTGTTGTACGTGGTGTCCTTAGCTCATGGAAAACCGTTTAAGCAAAATCGAAGTTAGTTTCTTAATTAAAACCTAAGTTAAACTATGGTTAAACCAAGCACAATTAGTTTCGTAATACATACCTTGAGATGAATCAGAAATTCTGCCAGCTTCTTTCATATTGATGTGAATTTGACTGGAAGGCCTGTCTATCTCAATGGTTGATCTACTACCGTTACTCTGTATATTTTGGCTTTTGTCACCCCCCTCCTCCATTGCCCCCACCTCGTTTGGTTCCCCCACTTCCGATCCGACCTCTTCCACCATCATTTGGTGTTTTTCCCACTCCTCGAAGAGACTCGTATAAACGTTCCTCTCGTTTTTGACAGAGCCAGATATCACATCCATATAGAAGTCCGCGGGGTTTACGTAGGGTGGCAAGGGATAGCCAATTTTGGCAAAGTATGTTTCCGCTCCGTCCACAGGGCCCGAGTAGACGGTCCGACCACCTTGACCGAGGAACAAAACTTTGTCGAACATTTCTAGAAAAAGAGAATAGTTGGTTATGTAGGAATCATGTGGTTGTATTCGTCTTTTCCTTATCTCATTCCTCTTCCTTCTTCATTCCTCTTCCTTCATTCTTTTGTTCATTCCTTCCTTCCTTCTTTTCTCATTCATTTGTCCATTAATTCATTCATTTGTTCCATTCTTCCTTTCCTTCCTTTTCTCCTTGCTCATTCATTCCTTCTTTCCACCATATCTCCTAATCCTTCAAGTCCTTTACTAAATCATTTCATTTTCTCACTTTCAGTTAGGAACAACTTACTTAAAATTTCAAATCTTGGCTGATGTATGACGCAACATATTGTCATATTAGTTTTCGCCGCTACCGTGTTTAACGCCTTCACAACGGCCAAACTGGATGAACTATCCAGACCTCTGGAAACAGAGCAAGATATGCAAGTAAGCAAACGTACTAAGACTAAACTCTGGTAATTCATTATCGTGAAATAAATGAGGTACATGTGGCACCCCTTATTTGACATTACTGGACCTAGAGCTATCCAGTATAAATAAAGTTAGTTTAGTTTAGGTTTCCTCCTGTAGTAACACTGGATCAATACGAGATGATCCTTACTGGACCTCTAGGAAGAACAGTTTAGAACTGATAGAGCTATCCAGTGTAAATAAAGTCAGTTTAGTTTAGGTTTCCTCCTGTAGTAACACTGGATCAATACGAGATGATCCTTACCGGACCTCTAGGAAGAACAGTTTAGAACTGATAGAGCTATCCAGTATAAATAAAGTTAGTTTAGTTTAGGTTTCCTTCTGCAGTAACACTGGATCAATAAGAGACATCCCCAGCTTACAAAGCCTCTAGAACAATTAGCGGTTTACTCTGTTAGTTTAGACAGAAGTAATCAAACTATCCAGAATAAATTACATTGGTTTTATCCTGAATATATTGTACGTTATGTATATATATATAGTGCGATAGAGAAATCCACTGGACGTCGACTGACACAAGAGGCGATGCGCAAATATCTACGGAATCTGGCAAATAACGAACTTTTAAATCAAACTGTGATCATTCTTCATGCAAAGGTCGCGCGAAAGTCGTATGGAAATGAAAAGAGGTAAGGAAAGAAAGCGCTTCGCAAAGCATAAAAATTTTGACTAACAAAGCGAAGCTCGCTGGTTCGATTCTCGTCGCGGTCAAGGAATATTAGAGTGTTTGCCATTAAGGCCAGACCGGTCAGAAGGAATATTAGAGTGTTTGCCATTAAGGCCAGACCGGTCGGAAGGAATATTAGAGTGTTTTCCATTAAGGCCAGACCGGTCAGAAGGAATATTAGGGTGTTTTCCATTAAGGCCAGACCGGTCAGAAGGAATATTAGAGTGTTTTCCATTAAGGCCAGACCGGTCGGAAGGAATATTAGAGTGTTTTCCATTAAGGCCAGACCGGTCAGAAGGAATATTAGGGTGTTTTCCATTAAGGCTAGACCGGTCAGAAGGAATATTAGGGTGTTTTCCATTAAGGCCAGACCGGTCAGAAGGAATATTAGGGTGTTTTCCATTAAGGCCAGACCGGTCAGAAGGAATATTAGGGTGTTTTCCATTAAGGCCAGACCGGTCAGAAGGAATATTAGAGTGTTTTCCATTAAGGCCAGACCGGTCAGAAGGAATATTAGGGTGTTTTCCATTAAGGCCAGACCGGTCAGAAGGAATATTAGGGTGTTTTCCATTAAGGCCAGACCGGTCAGAAGGAATATTAGAGTGTTTTCCATTAAGGCCAGACCGGTCAGAAGGAATATTAGGGTGTTTTCCATTAAGGCCAGACCGGTCGGAAGGAATATTAGAGTGTTTTCCATTAAGGCCAGGCCATAAGAGACGGCGGTCACTTGGTATTTGAGGAGAACAGTGTAGAACTGATAGTTTGAATTTTCATAAACTTACGTGGTTGGTTCATCCAAAAACAAAATGGTTGGATCAGCGACTAACTCCATTCCAATGTTTACTCGTCTTCGCTGACCACCTGAAATACCTCGAGTTTCCTGGAAATGATTTATACACAGATTTATCAGCAGTATTTCTACAGAAATGTTTGATATGTGATGGTGTTTAATTTTAACCAGGATATAAGCAGGAGGGTGGAGAGGGTGTTGCCCAAGGAGGTGCGCGCACACACACACTATACAGTTTACAGACTTAATATAAACTGGTACCTCATTATTTTGTTATGTACAAATCTACAGGCAAGGCTATCAAGGCATCATATTTTATATCAAGGCATCGCCAGAGGCCAGCAGCTACAGTACAATAAACTACAATTTTGGACAAAGCCCTTGAGACCATTCCAGCCAATATTACAAAGTTATTGAACATGGACAAAACAAACTTTGTCCCCCCTCCTCCCCCCCCCCAGTTCAATGTTGTAAACAACGTCGAAACAACTTTTGGTAATATACCATGACACAAGCTCAACATTGAGTTGGGGGAGCGGGGGCTTAAGAAGGCAACATGATTCAACATGGAATTTATCATAAAAATATGGGAATTTTTGTATAGGGTGAAAATAGTCTCAACCAGTTATGTCCAAGATCATAGTTTGATATTGTGACGATAGTAAAAGATTATAAGTATTCACCTCGTCTCCTATTTGCGTGTTAGCGACAGTTCGAATCCCCAAGTGACCCATTGTCTGCAAGGAGAAACAAAATGAACTAGAGGTCATGCACTCGGAGACTGCGTACCTCGGCTAGCGAATGGATGATGTAAAGCTTTAATAATAATCCACCTTAAGTAAAAAAAATACAGTGGACTTACAAATTCATAAACATTATAAAACCATCTATATTACAATAAAAATTTGTATTTTTAAAAAGGTTCAGTTGCCAAAGGCACAGACGACGATTATGTCCTTCGGTTCAGAGAATAATGCAACCTACATCCAGCCCAAAATTACAGAACCGTCTATTACAGTAGTAATTTAAAGTTTATTATTAAAAAGTTTAACTGCACGAGGCATAAACGATGATTTATGTCTTTCGGTTCTGGAAATAATGCGACCTACATTAGAACCTCTTTCTTTAGTTCTAGTGGAATAGTCATGCTTCTGTGCAATAGGGAGAAGGTGGTGACAGAGATGGTTTACGTCCTGAGTAATTGCCTCCATTTCTCGAAGAGTTAGTTTATCTCTTCTCCCACTAAACAGTCTAAGCGGGGGAACAATCAGATGCGTTTGATATATCCGATTAACCAATCAGATGCGTTTAATATATCCGATTAAACAATCAGATGCGTTTGATCTGATTAACCAATCATCAGATGCGTACTAAGCCAGTGAAAGGTAGTGGTAGCGGAAGTCAAATCTGAACCTCTCTGATCAGTTGCGGCAGCTAATAGTAGAACACTACCAACACTAGATCGAGAGTATAAGACTACCGCCCGTATTCCAAAAGCGCACTCACACTCCACTCAATGAGTGGAAGTTTAATCTAATCTGAACTTCTCTCGAATGTCATTACTGTTTTTGAATAGCTGGAGAGTAAGTGTCGTACCTTACTATGCGACTACTCACCCCCCAGCTATTCAAAAACAGCATTCACACTTAAGAGAAGCTCCGATTGAACCTCCACTCATTGAGTGTGAGTGAGCTTTTAGAATACGGGCGTACGTCATCCATACCTGTTTAACAATTTTTCCATACACCTTGGGATCAGATGGTGGAGGCAATCGTAAAACGGCATTGTAGTACAATACTTCCCAAACTGTCAGAGACCGATGCATTATGTCATCCTACATAAAGAGAATCAACTAACTTTATCGACAATTCTATACTGGGGGCTTCGGTGGCGCAGTCATCAGAGATCGTGGGTTCGATTTTCGGTTATAGAAGTACTCTTCCAACATCCAACTGTACATAGGCAAAGTTTGTCTTTGCTAAATCACTCTATGACTCGACTTTGACTCATTTTTCTTCTTGTCAACTAACCCTAACCAATTACCTGTGGTACAAATCCGGTAAGACTTTTATAATCTTGAATTCCTGAAACTTTTTTCCCGTTAATTTTTATTCGTCCACCAGCATCCTGAAAATGAAATAAACAAAAATTTATGATCGCATAAGATTATCGGCAAATCATGTCAACCATAATATGTCAAGTGAAGAAAAATTATTCCCAGAAAAAAATTAGGGAAAAAAAATCTTCCCAGGCATAGTGGCCTATAAATTTCACTTTAAAAAATGTTTCCAGCCATCAAGTGAGAAAAAATATATATTTCTTCTATAGATGCACAAACAAATATATTGCCTCACCCACCCCCAAGGGTGGGTAGTAGCGAAATGGTGTAGTTCGCTACTGTAGCAAACTACAATTTTCAAGTAGCCAGTAGTTTTTGACTACTTTTTTAAAACAGTAGCTGTAGTGATAGCGAACTACATTTTGCCTAAAAGTAGCCAAGTAGTTGACTACTTTTCAAACAGCGAATCACTATTCGCTACTTTTTAAAATTGTTATCAACTTGATATAGAATAACATGATATTGGAGCATGATATAGACACGGTTTGCTTAAAATCAATACTCAATTGTCCATTTGCATTCCTGAACACTCTAGTGCTTACAAAAATGTTGCTTTGTGTTTACTGTTGGTACTTGTAAGTCGATTTGTTACAGGTTACATTACAGCCTGAGTTAGTAGATGCTCCAAATACAGTAAAACTAAACAATATAGCGTAGCGAAATAGCGAAATAATTCGCTACATTTTTTAAGCAGTAGCTGTAGTCAGTAGCGAACTACCTTTGTTCAAAAGTAGCAGTAGTTGTAGCTGACAACATATTTTCGAAGTAGCTATAGTTATAGCGAACTATAAAAATTGTGTAGTCAACCCACGCTTGCCCCCCCCCCCTCCCCCTCCCCATCACTTTTCTAATGGTCCGTCCCTAATGAACGGCATCTATTGTGGTCGTATTTAAAGCTATTCAAAACACTTTATTATAGACTTTATACCTGATAAAACTCATCTTCACTCCTACGCGTGTTTTAAATAGTACATAAAACGTCCTGTGCTAGGTTCTCAAAAAACGTACAATACTTACACCATAGTATGCTTTACCACACAGAACATTCAAGAACGTTGTTTTACCCGCGCCTGAAGGACCCAGAACAGCGGTCACCTCGCCTGCATTGATCTCTCCCGTGACGCCTTGCAACAAAACTTTGCCTTTGTTTTCACCCTGAAGTTAGAAACATACTGTAGCGTCAGTAACCATTCCATTTCACGCATGAAGTCTGTTTTCCACTTCAACTGTATCAAACGACGATGAGAGTGCATGAGAGTTGACAGTCACGCGAGCTTGGTTAGCTGTTCTTAATGCTTTCCCAACACTAACACTATCACGAGAGTTGAGAAAACTCTCATGTAAACTCTCAACTCTCATTAACTCTCATGCAAACTCTCGTTTCTCAACTCTCATGCAAACTCTCGCTTCCCAACTCTCATCAACTCTCATGCAAACTCTCGCTTCCCAACTCTCATGCAAACTCTCCGCACTTCTCAACCCTCATCAACTCTCATGTAAACTGTCGCTTCTCTACTCTCATCAACTCTCATGCAAACTCTCGCTTCTCAACTCGCATGCAAACTCTCGCTTCTCAACTCTCATCAACTCTCATGCAAACTCTTGCTTCTCAACTCAACTCAACTCAACTCAACTCTCATCAACTCTCATGCAAACTCTCGCTTCTCAACTCTCATCAACTCTCATGCAAACTCTCAACTCTCATCAACTCTCATGCAAACTCTCGCTTCCCAACTCTCATGCAAACTCTCCGCACTTCTCAACCCTCATCAACTCTCATGTAAACTGTCGCTTCTCTACTCTCATCAACTCTCATGCAAACTCTCGCTTCTCAACTCGCATGCAAACTCTCGCTTCTCAACTCTCATCAACTCTCATGCAAACTCTTGCTTCTCAACTCAACTCAACTCAACTCAACTCTCATCAACTCTCATGCAAACTCTCGCTTCTCAACTCTCATCAACTCTCATGCAAACTCTCAACTCTCATCAACTCTCATGCAAACTCTCGCTTCTCAGCTCAACTCAACTTAACTCTCATCAACTCTCATGCAAACTCTCGCTTCCCAACT